CATCTTTGTTGGTATGTGGTGCTGCTGAGGATCGAACCCGGGCCGCACGCATGCTAGGCGAGTGCGCTACCGCTTGAGCCACATCCCCAGCCCTCTCTCTCTCTCTCTCTTAAAAAAAAAAATACATAACAAATCCCACTATGTACAATTCACTAATACAAACAAGGGAAAAAAACAAAAGAATGTGGTATTGTAGCTAGGTGTGGTGGTGCACACCCATAATCCACTTACTCTGGAGGCTGAGGCAGGAAAACTGGCAAGGTCAAGTTCACTCCAGGCAACTTGGTGAGAACCTATTTCAGTGGTTGAGTGCTTGCCTAGTATGTACCCAGCTCACATTCATTTTTTTCTTTTAAAATTTGTTTTTGTAGTTATAGACAGCAGCGTGCCTTTAATTTGTTTATTTTTATGTTGTGCTGAGGATCGAACCCAGTGCCCCACATGTGCAAGGCAAGCACTCTGCCACTGAGCTATAGCCCCAGCCCTCATATTCATTTTTTTCTAAGAATCATCAATATCCAAAAATCTTGCTAAGGGCAGTGGTGCATGCCTGTAATTCCAGTGACTCAGGAAGCTGAGGCAGGAGGATCACAAGTTCAAGGCCAACCTCAGCAACTGAGCAAGTCCCTCTTAAAAAATAAAAGGATGATAGATTCTAATTGCCCCTGGCACCTGTGATCAATCCCCAGAACCAAAACTCAAAACCCAAACCAAACATCCAAGAATCTGTTTGGTAGTATAACCTTCCTAACATAGACTCTGTCCATAACAAGCCAGTGCCCATTGTTAACTTTCTGCCATGATAGAAATGTTCTTTTCATAATACCATAGACGCAAGCCACATGGGATTTATCAAGTACTTGATAAAATTAATGGTTTGTATAACTGAAAAAACATTATTTTAAATTTTAAAAATTGATTTAAATATAAATAGGAACACCTAAATGGTGACCACTATATTGAGGGAATCAGTTCTGATTTGGTTGCTCAAATGCTTATGAAAATTTTCTTTAATATACACAAATTATCTTAAGATACTGTACTATGTTTATTTTTTTTTTAAAGAGA